GGCTCAGCTGTCATCCACTGAGTGGGCTGAGTTTGATGCTGATTGGCTGTGGCTCAGCTGTCATCCAATCAGTGGGCTGAGTTTGATTGATGTTGATTGGCTGTGGCTCTGCTGTCATCCACTGAGTGGGCTGAGTTTGATTGATGTTGATTGGCTGTGGTTCTGCTGTCATCCACTCATTGGGCTGAGTTTGATGTTGATTGGCTGTGGCTTTGCTATCATCCATTCAATGGGCCGACTCTTCTGCTGGGCGGGAGCCAGGAAAGTGTCATTATCACTGAGCACACGCATCGATCAATCGGTCCATCGTTAAGTATTCGTTTTAAATCAAAAGAGTAAACAATCGAAATTGTCAGTTGTGCTTCATTGCAAAATGGATATTTTTGGATTATCCGTAATGTTGGATTATCCACGGCCGTCCTCCCCGCCATTAGTGCGGATAATCGAAAGTTGACTATGTTCTGATGGTGACAACACCACCACCACCGCTTGCACCACCACCGCTAGCACCACCACCGCTAGCACCACCACTAGCACCACCACCGCTAGCACCACCACCACTAGCACCGTCACTGCCATTCGCCACTTAAGTGGCTGTGACGTCACCACGGCGCTTGTGCCAGGCTATATACACGTTAAGTCCACGTGAAGTGTTGAATGCCCGCTGGCAGGAGGTCACAGGACAGACCCAGGTGCCATGGGTTGACTGAGATGACTGGCCAATGTAATACCTTTGCCCCCTACTGGAGTGAGACCTCTGCTGTCAAACCAGAGCTGGTCATGAGCACACTGCCCAGGTATGGGAAACTCTCCACAACTGCCCCATCACCGATTGGGAGTTGTGGGGGTGGAGTGTCCGATGGTACAAAATACCCAGGCAGGTGCTTAGTTTTGGTGGGGCTGATGGTAAGGCCCCACCTCTTGGTGGCAAACTCCAGGTTCAGCAACAGCGGCTCCAACTCCTCCTCTGAGTGAGCAGCAATTACCAGATCATCGGCATACATAATCCGGGAATTGATCAGCCTCCCATTGTATCTGTACCAGATGGAAATTCCTCTGGTACAGCTATTGAAGGCTTTATGAACTATGTGGTCTAAATAGATGTTAAATAATGTGGGAGCCAGAGGATATCCCTGTTGCAGCCCAAGGTGAACAGGGAATGGCTCCGACTCCAGCCACGTAGTTTTACCCGCGCCCGCTCACCATCATGAAGGTCCTTAATGATCGTGAGCAGCGGGTCAGGGACTCCAAAAACACGAAGAACAACCCAGAGCCCAGGCCTACTGATGGTATTATGGGCCTTGACCAGGTCAATAAAGCAGAGATGTAGGTCTTGGTGGAATTCCCTACACCTCTGCTGTAGCAGACGGACATAATATGGAATCTGTGCAGGACCGCCCTTTCCTGAAACCAGATTGGAGCTCCGCAAGCCTCTCCTCAGCGTGCCTGGCAAGGCGATGTTGAATAATTCTTGCCAGGACCTTTCCTGGCACACCGAGGAGTGAGATGCCCCTGTAGTTACAGTCTGTGTGGTCCCCCTTCTTAAAGAGGGGGACCACCAGGTCATCCTTCCAATCCTGAGGAACCCGTCTAGTGGTCCAGACTATTGTTATGATGTCATGTAGGACAGTCTGTGCACAAACGCCACCCTCCCTCAGCATTTCGCTTGGGAGATCATCTCTGCCCGGTGCTTTCCTAGTCTCAGGCTCCGGATCGCCTTCAGTACTTCCTCAACAGATGGCACCTCAGCCAGCCACTCACAGGGGATGACTTCTTCCTCCAATATTTGAGGCACCGCAGCCTCAACAGGGTCATCCCCACTTTGTCCCACGATGTTTTGCAGGCTGAGGGATTTCCCCTCCCTATGGACCTCAGAAATGCTCAGCAAATCTGCAAACCTGTTACTGGGGGTCGGAGATTGGATCACCGTTCTTTCCCCTAACGTGGTGTTGTCCCACGTTTGTTTCCCCCGTTTTCTAACAAGCTGGATGTCTCACTAGCACAGCCACCATTACGGTGGTTCGCTTACATTGACATGCTAATATCTCTCAATACAATGGCCACCTCCTAAGCTCTAGCATCAACCACAACCCCCCCTTCCCCCCCTTATCATCTCGGTTCCCATCTTTGGATTTCCCACTCGCTTAGGCACACTCTCCAGCCCCCACCGTCTTGCCTGATGCGGCAACCCCCCCCTCCCCCTCGGCTCTAAATATATATAATGACTTGTTTAAGCAGCCTGTTGTTCTCTCCCACCTGAAGACGATTGCTTGTGTGGCGATCTAAACGTCGTGACTTTACTGAAATAACCAAAGAGTGTGGATTCCTGCAGTCACGAAAGCTTCAAATCAAGATTGAACCGCCTCTACGGGGAGGGTTTTCACACAACTGTTGGATCTTTTAACAGACTGCAAGACAAGAAGGCTCACCTGACCTAGTCGCTAACCTTTCTGAAGAGATGCCACGACACCAAATTAATACCGATCGCCTTTACACTTACATCTGCTGCTGTCACTTCTCCTAACGCTAAACCGATCTTGTTTAGGGCTAGCCTAGCTTGAATCTCAGAGAGAATAAGATTGCTCTGATTCGAACTTGATCATTTAGACAATATTATCTTACAATCACACTTAGAATTAACAGATCAAATGTCCACATCTAAATGGGACCATGTAGATAACATGACAGTTTCTTCAGCTACTTCAATGTCAACCAAATATAAAGTTAACTTGATTGCTTAAATTTAACCTCCTGTCAAAAAATAAGCCAGAGCCGCACGCTAAAAAGTTAGATGTTAACAAGATTGTCATCAATCACAGTAACAGCCCAATTTCCGACGGCCTAAAATTGGTACTAGCTAAAGGGTTGAATTTTGCAGTCACCCCTAAACACATCCCAGTGGATGATATCATTGCCCAGGTCGACGTAGCCCTCAAATGTTTGGCACACATTCCTGCAGACGTGGCGAGATCGCAAATCGCTGAAAACCTAAAAAACGCTGAGAAACTCGATTTAAAGCTTTCGTGACTGCAAGGATTCATCTTCTTTGGTTCTTTCGGTAAAGTCACGTAGAATGAGAATAAAATTATAAATTGATAAAATAAAATAACAATAATATTCTCAGAATATTATTGTGTTATTTTATATTCTCAGAATATTATTGTGTTATTTTATTTTATCAATGTATTATTTTATTCTCATTCTACGTGGTGACTTTACCGAAAGAACCAAAGAAGCTGAGAAACGCATTAGCAACATCAGCAAGGATGAGCGCTTTGAGCTTGCTCAACTGAAAAAGAGAGATGACATAGTCATCCTCTCAGCCAACAAGGGCAATGCCACTGTCATCATGGATAAAACCACTTAGAGTAACACAGTTCAGGACCTACTTAATGATGGCAGCTATACCAAAATCAATAGAGATCCTATCAACCGCCTGGTTACGAAAACCAACAATCACTGATTCGACATCTTTAATCGAACCAACCAAGTGTCTCTCTCTAAAACCCTCTGCTGCTAGACCACCCAGATTTTATGGCTTACCAAAAATCCATAAAGAAGGTACACCACTCCATCCTATCGTCTCCACCATTGACCAACCCACCTACAAACTGCCCGATTTCTGTCTGAGACACTGCTTCCTTTCATGGGCAAGACCACCTCAGCTGTACTTAACACAGCTCACTTGGTTTCTCTAATCAAGGACATCTCAATGTCTCCAGATGATTTGCTTGTCAGTTTCGATGTACAGTAGTCTCCCTGTTCACCAAGGTACCTGTACCTGACACCATTGCAATCATTGAAGACTTGGTCCAACAAGGACTGAATCCAGATGTACCAACTTTGGTAAGGCACTGTCTTACCAACACATACTTCACCTGGAATGGAACATTCTTCAAACAAAATGAGGGTACCCCAATGGGTTTTTCCTTATCGCCAGTGGTAGCGAATGTTTTCATGGAGAAATTTGAGGCAGATGCCATCCAGACGTCCACCCTACGTCCTTCCTTGTGGAAGAGATACGTCGATGACGCGTTAGTCATATCCACTTGGCCTGTCAGCACTGAACCAATTTTTCAACCACATCAATTCCATACACCATCTATCAAATTCATCATGGAAGTGTAAAATGACGGCAGACTACCATTCGTGGATGTTTTGATCGAGAAGAGACCTGATGGCTCGTTGGGACATTCGGTTTACAGGAAAGCCACCCATACAGATGCCTATCTAAAGCCTGACTCCCACCACCATCCAGCCCAGAAGAGTTCCCTCATCAAAACACTACACCATAGGGCCCGTTGCATCTCCGACCAGCACCACCTAGCCAGTGAGTTGGAGCACGTACACCAAGCACTCAGGATGAACGAATACTCGGACCGTACGATCCGCAAAGCTGCCTCTCCAGCCATGGATAGACAACCTTCTGAGGATCCAACCAAAACCATCACTTTACCATACATAGCAGGGGTTACTACAAATATTTCCAAAATCTTAAACAAACGCAAGATCCAGGTTCGTTTCAACACAATACACAAATTCCGTGATTTGATCCCGTCTGTAAGGGACGTGATCCCTGACACGCAATACCCCGGCGTCTACAAACTAAGCTGTATCTGCGGCAGCAGTTACATTGGGGAAACTAAGCGACATGTCTCGGACCGCGTTCGCGAACACAAGGCAGATCTAAAACACGGTAGGACCAATACCTCGGCCGTTGCTGATCATTGCTTTGAACGCTGTGGGCTCAGACGAAATTGATTTTTCCAAGACGGAGGTACTCTGCAAACCTACCGGCTACCTTCAGAGATTTGTTCATGAAGCCACCATCGCCAGCGCCAACGCCAACGCTAGCACCGCCACCATCGCCACCATCGCTGCCACCGCGCCACGTGACCCTTTGAATCTCCCCGCGCGGGCGAGCGATCGCGCGCGAGAGGCGGGGCCCCAGTGACGTCACGTATGACGTCACCAGCCCGCCCCCCCCCACACGTCCCCCGCCCCCCTCCTCATCCGCAGCTTCCGCCGCTGCTGTTGAGGCGAAGATGGCGGCGCCGCTGCCGCTCGGGGCCCTGAGGGAGGAGGAGAAGCCGCAGCTGCTGCCGCTGCTGTGGTGGTCGCTGTGACTGCTGCCCGTGACTGCCGCCCGTGACTGCCGCTGTGGTGGTCGCTGTGACTGCTGCCCGTGACTGCCGTGACCGCGGCAGCAGCGACCACGACGACTCCCATCGCCGTGTCGCCCCCATCCGTCAGTTAAGGAGTCGCTTACCCGGGGAGTTGTTCAACCACCACCACCACCGACAACGACCAACAACAACAACCACCAAGAACAACAACCACCAAGAACAACAACCACCACCACCACCGTAGCCGTTAGCGAGCGGCTGAGCGCGCCCGCTCGGGAACCTGAGCCCGAGCGGGGGTGGGGGTGACCCGCCTGGACCCGGTTCAGCCCGGGTAGCGATACTAGGCAAGGCCGTAGGCTTCACGCTAGGCCGCGGCAGTTTTAATTGTTTTTGATCGCCCAGTGTTTTTGGTGACGTTGTATAGGCGGGGTGTTTTGTGTGCTGGTTAAGTGGTGGGTTGGTTGTGTTACTCAACTATCCGTGGGAGCGGTGAACTCGACGGTGCGGCTGGAGGCGAGAGAGAGAGGGGAGAGGCCTGCGGCTCGAGGCGGCTTAAGATGTCTTCGTCAGCTGTCCCTGCCGATAAGGTGAGGAAGAGGCCGTGGTGAGGGAGAGGCCGTGGTGAGGGAGAGGCCGTGGTGAGGGTGAGGCCGTGGTGAGGGAGAGGCCGTGGTGAGGGTGAGAGAGAGACCGTGGTGAGGGTGAGAGAGAGAAGCCGTGGTGAGGGTGAGGGAGAGAGACCGTGGTGAGGGTGAGAGAGACCGTGGTGAGGGTGAGAGAGACCGTGGTGAGGGTGATGGAGAGGGACCGGTGGTGAGGGTGAGGGAGAGAGACCGTGGTGAGGGTGAGAGAGAGAAGCCGTGGTGAGGGTGAGGGAGAGAGACAGTGGTGAGGGTGAGAGAGACCGTGGTGAGGGTGAGAGAGACCGTGGTGAGGGTGAGACCGTGGTGAGGGTGAGGGAGAGGCCGTGGTGATGGTGAGGGAGAGACCGTGGTGAGAGAGAGACCGTTGGTGAGGGTGAGAGAGAGAGAGAGAGGCCGTGGTGAGGGTGAGGGAGAGACCGTGGTGAGGGTGAGAGAGAGGCCTTGGTGAGGATGAGAGAGAGAGGCCGTGGTGAGGGAGAGGCCGTGGTGAGGGTGAGGGAGAGACCGTGGTGAGGGTGAGAGAGAGACCGTGGTGAGAGAGAGACCGTTGGTGAGGGTGAGAGAGAGAGAGAGGCCGTGGTGAGGGAGAGGCCGTGGTGAGGGTGAGGGAGAGGCCGTGGTGAGGGTGAGAGAGAGGCCGTGGTGAGGGTGAGAGGCCGTGGTGAGGGTGAGGGAGAGACCGTGGTGAGGGTGAGAGAGAGGCCGTGGTGAGGGTGAGAGACCGGTGGTGAGGGTGAGAGACCGGTGATGAGGGTGAGAGAGAGGCCGTGGTGAGGATGAGGGTGAGAGACCGGTGATGAGGGTGAGAGAGAGAGAGGCCGTGGTGAGGGTGAGAGACCGGTGGTGAGGGTGAGAGAGAGGCCGTGGTGAGGATGAGGGTGAGAGAGACCGTGGTGAGGGAGAGAGAGAGAGACCGTGGTGATGGAGAGACCGTGGTGAGGGTGAGAGAGAGACCGTGGTGAGGGTGAGGGAGAGAGGCCGTGGTGAGGGTGAGAGAGAGACCGTGGTGAGTGGATGAGTGGCACGGGCTAGATGGAGTGATGTGGTACAGGAGGATGTCGAGCTTAGTGGACTTGCCAATGACCGGTACCAGCGGTGTCAATATCGGCCTCTGTGGAGGAGGCTCGTGAAGGACGCTGCTACTGAGCAATTGGAGGCAGTCGCCCCCCAACAACAACGAGTGGAGTGCCGGGCGGCTAAAACGCAGCGAGTTGGCACAGTAGGGGGCGCAGCTGGTAGCATCTGGGCCACTCATTTCAGTCAGTCAACCCACAGCACCTGCTGGGTCTGTCCCGTGACCTCCTCCTGCACCTAGCCTGGCACAGAAGTCAACCCATGGCACCTGCTGGGTCTGTCCCGCGACCTCCTGCACCTAGCCTGGCACAGCAGTCAACTCATGGCACCTGCTGGGTCTGTCCCTTGACCTCCTCCTGCACCTAGCCTGGCACAGCAGTCAACCCATGGCACCTGCAGGGTCTGTCCCGTGACCTGCACCTAGCCTGGCACAGCAGCCAACCCACTGCACCTGCAGGGTCTGTCCCGTGACCTCCTCCTCCTGCACCTAGCCTGGCACAGCATTCAACCCATGGCACCTGTTGGGTCTATCCCGTGCCCTCCTGCACCTAGCCTGGCACAGCAGTCAACCCATGGCACCTGTTGGGTCTATCCCGTGACCTCCTGCACCTAGCCTGGCACAGCAGTCAACCCATGGCACCTGCTGGGTCTGTCCCTTGACCTCCTCCTGCACCTAGCCTGGCACAGCAGTCAACCAACGGCACCTGCTGGGTCTGTCCCGTGACCTGCACCTAGCCTGGCACAGCAGTCAACTCATGGCACCTGCTGGGTCTGTCCCGTGACCTCCTCCTGCACCTATCCTGGCACAGCAGTCAACCCATGGCACCTGCTGGGTCTGTCCCGTGACCTCCTCCTCCTCCTGCACCTAGCCTGGCACAGCAGTCAACCCATGGCACCTGCTGGGTCTGTCCCGTGACCTCCTCCTCCTCCTGCACCTAGCCTGGCACAGCAGTCAACCCATGGCACCTGTTGGGTCTATCCCGTGACATCCTCCTCCTGCACCTAGCCTGGCACAGCAGTCAACCCATGGCACCTGTTGGGTCTATCCCGTGACATCCTCCTCCTGCACCTAGCCTGGCACAGTAGTCAACCCATGGCACCTGCAGGGTCTATCCCGTGACCTGCACCTAGCCTGGCACAGCAGTCAACCCACGGCACCTGCTGGGTCTGTCCCGTGACCTCTTCCTGCACCTAGCCTGGCACGGGCGCCGCCGTTGAGGGGTAGAGAGCTACTGGCGGGGGGGTGGTAACTTTTTCTCTTAAGACTGCGGGGGGAGCGGTGGTGCAATGGTTAGCGCACGCTGCGAATTTGACTCCCACAGACGCTGGTGGCGATTATCTGAACCGGTTCTGCCCCCCCCCACCCTCCCCCTAAGTCGACTCAGTCTTAAATGAGTACCTGGGGATACAAAGGCGGTCGGGCGTGGTGCTGGCCACCCTCTCGTGTGCATCAGTGCCGGTCTTCATCGGTGCATCTGCTACTCGCTAAGAGTGCTTGCCCCTACAGTCTGTTACAGGCTACACACGATATCTTGTGTGTGCGTACTGTGTGTGTACTGTGTGTGTGTGTACTCTGTGTGTACTGTGTGTGCTGTGTGTACTGTGTGTGTACTCTGTGTGTACTGTGTGTGCTCTGTGTGTGTGTGTGTGCTCTGTGTGTGTGTGTGCTCTGTGTGTGTGTGCTTTGTGTTTACTGTGTGTGTGTACTGTGTGTGTGTGCTCTGTGTGTACTGTGTGTGCTGTGTGTACTGTGTGTGTGTGTTCTCTGTGTGTGTGTGTGCTCTGTGTGTGTGATCGTGTGTGTCTGCCCTGTGTATGTGTACTCTGTGTGTGTTATCTGTGTGTATGTACTGTGTGTGTTATCTGTGTGTGTGTGCTCTGTGTGTGTGTGCTCTGTGTGTGTGTGTGTGCTTTGTGTGTGTTTACTGTGTGTGACTATCTATTTACGGGTGCCGCACAGACAGAAATACGCACAAGTACGCTCCGCCATTCGTTGTGCCTTGTGAGTACTGCGTCAAAGGGTTTCCTGGGCTATAAATACACTCCTAGCCGGCCACACAAAGACAAAGATCTCCCTTATAGCCTTAAAAGAACGTAGGGCAAGTGCTGTTAGCGAGCAGCGCCTATGAAGGCCGGAATGGTACACGAGGGGTGGGTGGCCAGCACCACGCCTGGCCGCCTTAGTCTCCTCAGTGACGATGTTTACACATCGCACCAGTTACTCATTTGAGGCTGAGGCGACCTAGGGGAGGCCCAGGACCGGTTCAGATAATCGTCACTGGTGTTGGCCGTGAGCGGGAACCGGTTGGCCGGGTTCATAGTGCAGCGCTACACTACCGCTCCGCCAGCCACACACATTGATACACACTGATACACACTCACTCACACTGATACACACTGCTACACACTGATACACACTGATACACACTCACTCACACTGATACACACTGATACACATTCACACTGATACACTGATACACACATTGATACACACTGATACACACTCACTCACACTGATACACACTGCTACACATTGATACACACTGATACACTCACTCACACTGATACACACTGATACACACTCACTCACACTGATACACACTGATACACACTGATACACATTCACACTGATACACACATTAATACACACTGATACACATTGATATGCACTCACACTGATACACACTGATACACACTCACACTGATACACATTTATACACACTCACACTGATACACACTGATACACATTGATACACACTCACACTGATACACATTGATACACACTCACTATGATACACATTGATAGGCACTCAAACTGATACACATTTAGTTGAGTTCAGTTCATTTTGGTATAGCCCTGTGAGCCATTCGGCTCTTGAATCGGGTGCAACCACAACAAACAAAAAAACTAAAACACGAACAAGAAAAACATCTTAAAGTGACTTTGTGTGACTGTGCAAACAGAAAATCCATGGAAAAAACAGCAAAAATATCCCTGAAAAAAAGCACCGTACACCAACGCTGTGTGCAAAAAAATCCCAGTGGGATGCAAGTCAAACAACAACCACAAAAACTTAGATTAAGGCCATCAGTCTAACTCCGTAATACAACAAAACAAACATGTCCAAACCAAAAAACTTTTCCAAATCACCAAAAAATAAAGCCATAATTGCAACGTAACAGTGATCACAGGGACTGTGACCGAATTTTTACAATAAATTACATAAATAACATGTAACACCAAATCCTAGAACTATAGCTGGCTGTATGAGTTACTCCACAACAACAGAAGCATCGGTAGGAGTATCAAATTTTTCAATGCACCTTTAGGATCAGCACGCTCAATCAAAATACAGATAATACTTTGCAGCGTCATCCGGAGCGAAACATTTTATTTTACGCCAATGAATAGCAGTGGCAGCTAGGGGTGTACAACTCCTCTAGATCAGTTTTGAGAGAAGATCTCATTGGTAGCGATTCAAGTTGCAGTTTATTGGCAATAGCATTCCAGACTCTGGGGGCATCAATAGCAAAGGCCCTTCCTCCAGTTTTTGTACGGCAATAGGGAATGTGAAGCTGGTAAATGAGCGAAGACCTGAGGTCAAATTTGTTCTTTGAAACAGAGAGGAGATCCAGCAGGTAGTCTGCGGATTTTTTTGTAAGTACATCGTGAATAAATAAGATCTGGTGCACAAGCCGTCGAACATTAAGAGATGTTAAGTTTGACCCAATGTAGAGATCACAGTGGTGAGTCCTATATGGGCAGTTCAATGTAAATCTTAAGGCCGAGTGATAGATGGAATCAAGCTTCTTCATTACAGTACTTGGAACTGATTTATACACGATGTCACAGTAGTCAAGTAGAGGCAGTATGGTAGCTTTTATCAATTCCAAATGGAAACATTGGGGGAGGCAGTGCTTGTGTCGATACAGAAAACCAATTTTTATTTTTGTCTTTTTACCAATATAATCAATGCACTCACACTGATACACATTGATACAGACTCACACTGATACACATTGATACACTCACTCACACTGATACACACTCATCACACACTGATATACACACTGATACAGACTCACACTGATACACACTCACTGATACAGCACTGATACACACACTGATAACAATAACCGCCATTCGCCACTAAGTGGCGGTGACGCTACCACGGCGCTTGTGCCAGGCTGAAACCGCATTGGGGCTCCGCAAGCCTCTCCTCAGCGTGCCTGGCAAGGCAATGTTGAATAATCCTTGCCAGGACCTTTCCCGGCACGCTGAGGAGTGAGATGCCCCCGTAGTTGTTACAGTCTGTGCGGTCCCCCTTCTTAAAGAGAGGGACCGCCAGGACATCCTTCAAATACTGCGGAACCCATCCAGTTGCCCAGACTGTTGTTATGATGTCATATAGGGCAGTCTGTGCACAAACGCCACCCTCCCTCAGCATTTCGCTTGGGAGATCATCTCTGCCCAGTGCCTTTCCTGATCTCAGGCTCTGGATCACCTTCACTACTTCCTCAACAAATGGCACCTCAGCTAGCCACTCACAGGGGGTGACTTCTTCCTCCAATATTTGAGGCACCGCAGCCTCAGAAGGGTCATCCCACTTTGCCCCACGATGTTTTCCAGGCTGATGGATTTCCCCTTCCCCAAGACCTCACAGAAATGCTCAGCAAATCTGTAACCTGTTCCTGGGTGTCGGAGATGGGATCAACTTTGTTTCCCCTAATGATGGTAATAGGTGTGGCACTGCAGGTTACCTATTTGATGGAGTTAAATAGAGATTTGTAATCGCGGACTACTGAGGCAGACTTAATCTCCTCAGCAAGCCGTAACAACCACCCATCCTTGCAGCACCTCATGGCTCTCCGAACCTCCGAGCAATAGCTGCATACAACCTCATTTTCTGTTGTGGGATGATGGTGGGAGTGGGATTGTCACTTTTCTCAGCCTGCCGGGACTCCTCTGTCAGCCAGGGTCTCTGGGGCAGTTTGCACCGTGTACCCAAAGCAGCCATTGCAGCTGCATGAGCCACAGTCCTAAACCTGGCCCATTTCCCCTCAGCATCAGGATGAGTAGGGGGTGATGCCAACCCCAACTGCAAGCGATGATAACATTCTCACTTGCAACTTTCATCAGCTACCTCAGACCAGGCCATCTGTGGGTTGGAATGGGGTCATGGATGTCCACCCACCACTGGAGTGGAAGAATGGCAGGCGCATCTTACAGATGCCAAGTCGATGGTCAGTGGGCAGATCAGCTCCACGGTAGGTCCTGGTATCAAGGACATGGGCCCGCATCCGTTGGTCCGTCACTATGTAGTCCAGCAGATGTTCTTGCTTGGACCCAGCATGCATCCATGATGTTGTGTGGATGCACCGATGCCGGAACAGCGTGTTGGTAATTACAAGCCCATGGGTTGCACAGAAGTCTAGCAGCCTTCTACTGTTGTTATTGAACTAATCTGGCCCATGCCTTTGATTCACTCCAGACCAGGTACCAGCATCATGACCAACTTGGGCATTGAAGTCACCCAACAGGATGACTATCGCGACGGGACACTTTAACTAGCACCTGTGACAGGAGGTCATAGAAGACATTTGACTCATCGACTGTGTGTGTGTGCTGTGTGTGTGTTCGTCTTCGGTGGGGGCATAAGTAACCACGACCACCACTCCTCGCATCTGGTTGATTGGAAGATGAGCCCAAAGTAGCCTGGGGCTTGCAGCTTCCCACACCTCACCGCCATGCTCCCACACCCCCTTCATTTTTTTGTCCAGAAGAAGAGCCACTCCCTATTGTTTGGCAGTCTCCTGCCCCGAGTAGGGGACTGTCCACCCTTCATGATGGCAGGAGCCAGAGCCGGTCCATCGGGCCTCCTGAATACCGTAGAGATCCAGGCGGTACCGGTCCAGCTCCCGACAGAGGAGTGGCAGCCTCTCCTCCAAAGTGAGCGTTCAAATATTCGACGTGGCCACCCGCAGTGGCTTTTTGGTGCTTCTGAAGGAGCCCCGAGCGTAAAGATTCAGTCTCCTGGCTCCGCCAAATGGGGTTTGGCCAGGAGACGTTATAGACGCCTGTCCCCCCGTGGTCTCCGGCACAAGCTTTTTATATTTTCTTGGAAGTATAGTGGTAATTTATTTTATGATGGAGGGGTTACCAGGCCCACGTACCCATCCAGAGCCCCTATTTGGCTGCTGTGGTGGCTACAAACGCCGTTAGGGGAATGGCAAATCTGAATCGACCCTCCTCTCACGGCACTGCTCACCACAGCGTTACCGTCCGGCGCCAACGAGGAGGTAGGGGTTGTTTTGCCGGACACACACTGAACACACACAGTCTGATACACACAGACACATACTCGTACAGCAATACCAATACCCACCATTTCCACGAAGTGATGGTAACGTCATCACGGCGCCTGTGCCAGGCACTTTGAAGTGTCGAAGGCTCTCTGACAGGAGGTCACGGTACAGACCCTCCAGATGGCATGGGTTGGCTGACAGAGGACTGGTAGATGCACACCAGCTGTACCCCCTACTGTGCCAACTTGCTGGGTTTTAGCCGCCCGGCGCTCCGCTCGTTGTGAGCGTCGCTGCTCTGCCCTCCGTTGTTGCTGGAGGGCGACTGCCTCCAACTGTCCAGTTGCAGCGTCCTTCACGAGCCTCCACGCACACACACACGTAGACTTGCATATTCAGAAACATAGGTGTAACTATTTTGCCGTGGTGGTGACGATTGCGGTGTTGTTCAGTTGAGGTTGATTTCATGGAAGATGATGATGCTGATGATTATGGTTTAGTTATTAATGAAGGCGGTGGTGGTGATGGATTATGATGGGTGCAAAGTTGGTGGTCATTTTTCTTTTGTTGATATTACTGCTGATGTTGAAGCTGTTGATGTTGCTGCTGATGTTGCTGATGATGTTGCTGATGATGTTGCTGATGGTGATGATGCCCATGATGCTGCCACTTGCCGATTCTGCTGTTGCTGCTCAACACTGTAAATGCTGATGATGACGAAGATGTTGCCGATGACGCTGATTATGATGATGACGCTGATGATGATGATGCTGATGATGACGACATTACTGCTGATGACGACGTTGATGATGACGCTGCTGATGACGATGCTGCTGACGATGACGATGTTGATGACGATGTTGATGACGATGCTGATGATGATGACGCTGATTACGACGATGCTGATAACGACGCTGATGATGATGATGATGACGATGTTGCCGATGACGACGTTGATGACGTTGGCATCCCCTTCCAGATCAATCTCCGCCTCATCCTCGTGAGTGGCAAGACGAAGGAGTTCCACTGCAGCCCCACGGACTCTGCCTCCGACATCGCCTCCCATGTCTACCAGCACTGGCCCATGGGTGAGCCGCTCACCACGCCGCTCACCACTCCGCTCACCACTCCGCTCACCACGCCGCTCACCACGCCGCTCACCACGCCGCTCACCACGCCGCTCACCACTCCGCTCACCACTCCGCTCACCACTCCGCTAACCACTCCGCTCACCACGCCGCTCACCACGCCGCTCACCACTCCGCTCACCACTCCGCTCACCACTCCGCTCACCACTCCGCTAACCACTCCGCTCACTTCGCCGCTCACTTCGACTGCGTCGTGAATCTGCTGCAAGTAGGTAAGGGGTGGTGGTGATGGGCCAGCCTTTTGCGAATACCGACACATGGGGATCTTTATACCGCCCATCGTGAGCGTAGTAGCAGCAGCAGTAGCTGCAGCATCAGCAGAAACAGTAGCAGCAGCAGCAGCAGCAACAGCGCCAGCATGTGTGTGTGTGTGCCAGTCGTTTTATAAACTCAACTACAGCCGGTCGTCGGCTATCTGTCGACTTCAAGGGCACTAAATAATTTTTTAAAATACCTCACTTTTGCACATTCTTGCACGACGGCACGTTTTTAGGCACTGTGCGTGCGTTTACTTTTTGAGTGTTTTTGACATTTACTTTTTAAGTAACAAAAAATCTCACCTACCCGCCAAAGGAGGAAGGGCATTGCAATTACTTCACGGAGCGATTCGAGTGAATGCAGCGCTCCGTATGAACTGAATACGCGCGCACCTCAGAGTAACAAAATGTGGGGGGCATATTCGGTAAAGTCACGTAGAAGGGAAATAATCAATAATACAAATAAAAACTAAAATTCTCACGACGTTTCTATTGCAGCACAAGCAATCATCATGATGTGTGATTGCTTCACTATGATGTGTGATTGCTTCATTATGATGTGTGATTGCTTCATTATGATGTGTGATTGCTTCATTATGATGTGTGATTGCTTCACTATGATGTGTGATTGCTTCATTATGATGTGTGATTGCTTCATTATGATGTGTGATTGCTTCATTATGATGTGTGATTGCTTCACTATGATGTGTGATTGCTTCATTATGATGTGTGATTGCTTCATTATGATGTGTGATTGCTTCACTATGATGTGTGATTGCTTCACTATGATGTGTGATTGCTTCATTATGATGTGTGATTGCTTCATTATGATGTGTGATTGCTTCATTATGATGTGTGATTGCTTCATTATGATGTGTGATTGCTTCACTATGATGTGTGATTGCTTCATTATGATGTGTGATTGCTTCATTATGATGTGTGATTGCTTCACTATGATGTGTGATTGCTTGTGTTGCAATCGAAACGTCGTGAGAATTTTCTGGGTTTTGTATTGTTTTATTATTTCCCTTCTGCGTGACTTTACCGAAGGTACCGAGAGCACTGAATTGTGCTCGACAACCCATTTTCGTGATGGGTACGACGCTCACAGTTGCACGAAATGTGGGCCCACAAGAAGCCATGAAATCCAGATCGGGGTCGTTCCCTTTTCGGGCCGAACCCAGCCAGCCTCCGTGAAGTCCCCCCCAGACCATTGGAGAGGGGGCGGGGGGGGGGTGTATGGGAGACCCTTGATCTCAGCATCAGGCACCTTGTGATCAGTGCACAGTGCGGACGAACATTTAATGGCTCCGAAATGAGGCCGCCTGGGCGAATTCTGGGGGGGGGGGTTGATTGTGTGGCCTTGATCATGGGTTGGGCCCTGGATAAGCCGAGTAAATCCCATGGAAGCCATGGTGTCCGAGAGGTTCTGTAGCCCAGCTGTCTGATGGGTCATCCGTCCCATGTGTTGAAATCCCCCCGGCACAATTGTACGAGAGAATTCCAGGAACAGGGTGGGGGGTGGGGGGGGGGGGGAGATTACCTCGGACAGAACGAGATGTAAAAATCGGTCCTTTGCTTCCAGGCAGTCTGTAAACCAGTGGTGATGTACGGGCCTTGGTTCTCATTCAGGGCATGACGCACCACCGTGCCTACAAATGGCCCAACTTTGGGAGCAGGGGCCACACGGCGCGGATGAGACCAGTCTGAAATAAAAAAAAAAATTCTACGTGACTTTACCGAAAGAACCAAAGAGTATTTCCTGCAGTCACGAAGGCTCCAAATCAAGTTTGAGACCAGTCTGCAAGATCACCGCCACCCCTGTTTTCACCTGGTCTGGGAATGTGCAGCATTGAATACCCAGCCGGAGACTAATCTTAGGCCCCAAATAGCTGAGGTCGAGCAAGGTTTCAGTAATCAAAGCTGGATGGGGACAGCCCGTGGCGATCGTGTCACCACTGACCTGGCGTTCGTAAGCACAAACGTCAGTTTCACCCTCCTTCTTACCAATGATGCCTCTATTTTGCAGCTCTGTGGAAAGCTGGTTAGGTATATTTGTTTATAACCCTAGGCCGATGGGGGAAGGACATCTGGGAGTCTGGATCTGAGGGTTCCGATGTGGACGTGAGACTACCAAGATCTTATGGGTAAACAATTGGGACCACTGGTTATCACCGGCTCCCAGATTCGAACCTCCGTGCCGGCGGCCTTCATCCGCCACTCAACTCGAAATTCGTCAGGGGGAAAAGGGGAACGGAGGCTCCTAAGGTCATGAACTCGGTAGCCCCATATCCCAAGGTCATGAACTGAGTAGCCTCGTACCCTAAGGTCATTAACTCAGTAGCTCCATATCCTAAGGTTATGAACTCGGTAGCCCCATATCCTAAGGCCATGAACTCAGTAGCCCCATATCCTAAGGTTATGAACTGAGTAGCCTCGTACCCTAAGGTCATTAACTCAGTAGCTCCATATCCTAAGGTTATGAACTCGGTAGCCCCATATCCTAAGGCCATGAACTCAGTAGCCCCATATCCTAAGGTTATGAACTCGGTAGCCCCATATCCTAAGGTCATGAACTCAGTAGCCCCATATCCTAAGGTCATGAACTGAGTAGCCCCGTACCCTAAAGTCATGAACTCAGTAGCCCCATATCCTAAGGCCATGAACTGAGTAGCCCCATATCCTAAGGTCATGAACTGAGTAGCCCCGTACCCTAAAGTCATGAACTCAGTATCCCCATATCCTAAGGTCATGAACTCAGTAGCCCCATATCCTAAGGTCATGAACTGAGTAGCCCCATATCCTAAGGTTATGAACTCGGTAGCCCCATATCCTAAGGTCATGAACTCGGTAGCCCCATATCCTAAGGCCATGAACTGAGTAGCCCCGTACCCTAAAGTCATGAACTCAGTATCCCCATATCCTAAGGTCATGAACTCAGTAGCCCCATATCCTAAGGTCATGAACTGAGTAGCCCCATATCCTAAGGTTATGAACTCGGTAGCCCCATATCCTAAGGTCATGAACTCGGTAGCCCCATATCCTAAGGCCATGAACTCAGTAGCCCCATATCCTAAGGTCATGAACTCAATAGCCCCATATCCTAAGGTTATGAACTCAGTAGCCCCATATCCTAAGGTGATGAACTCAGTAGCCCCATATCCTAAGGTCATGAACTGAGTAGCCCCGTACCCTAAAGTCATGAACTCAGTAGCCCCATATCCTAAGGCCATGAACTGAGTAGCCCCATATCCTAAGGTCATGAACTGAGTAGCCCCGTACCCTAAAGTCATGAACTCAGTATCCCCATATCCTAAGGTCATGAACTCAGTAGCCCCATATCCTAAGGTCATGAACTGAGTAGCCCCATATCCTAAGGTTATGAACTCGGTAGCCCCATATCCTAAGGTCATGAACTCGGTAGCCCCATATCCTAAGGTCATGAACTCAGTAGCCCCATATCCTAAGGTCATGAACTCAGTAGCCCCATATCCTAAGGTTATGAACTCAGTAGCCCCATATCCTAAGGTGATGAACTCAGTAGCCCCATATCCTAATGTTATGAATTCAGTCGCCCCATATCCTAAGGTCATGAACTCAGTAGCCCCATATCCTAAGGTCATGAACTCGGTAGCCCCATATCCTCAGGTCTTGAACAGAGTAGCTCCACATCCTAAGGTCATGAACTCTGTCGCCCCATATCCTAAGGTCATGAACTCAGTTGCCCCATATCTTAAGGTCATGAACTCAGTAACCCCATATCCTAAGTTAATGAACTCAGTAGCCCCATATCCTAAGGCCATGAACTCAGTAGCCCCATATCCTAAGGCCATGAACTGAGTAGCCCAATATCCTAAGGTTATGAACTCGGTAGCGCCATATCCTAAGGTCATGAACTCAATAGCCCCATATCCTAAGGTCATGAACTCAGCCCCATATCCTAAGGTCATGAACTCGGTAGCCCCATATCCTCAGGTCTTGAACAGAGTAGCTCCACATCCTAAGGTCATGAACTCTGTCGCCCCATATCCTAAGGTCATGAACTCAGTCGCCCCATATCTTAAGGTCATGAACTCAGTAACCCCATATCCTAAGTTAATGAACTCAGTAGCCCCATATCCTAAGGCCATGAACTCAGTAGCCCCATATCCTAAGGCCATGAACTGAGTAGCCCAATATCCTAAGGTTATGAACTCGGTAGCGCCATATCCTAAGGTCATGAACTCAATAGCCCCATATCCTAAGGTCATGAACTCAGCCCCATATCCTAAGGTTATGAACTCGATAGCCCCATATCCTAAGGTCATGAACTCAGTAGCCCCATATTCTAAGGTTATGAACTCAGTAGCCCCATATCCTAAGGTGATGAACTCAGTAGCCCCATATCCTAAGGTCATGAACTCGGTAGCACCATATCCTAAGGTCATGAACTCAGTAGCCCCATATCCTAAGGTCATGAACTCAGTAGCCCCATATCCTAAGGTTATGAACTCAGTAGCCCCATATCCTAAGGTGATGAACTCAGTAGCCCCATATCCTAATGTTATGAATTCAGTCGCCCCATATCCTAAGGTCATAAACTCAGTAGCCCCATATCCTAAGGTCATGAACTCGGTAGCCCCATATCCTCAGGTCTTGAACAGAGTAGCTCCACATCCTAAGGTCATGAACTCTGTCGCCCCATATCCTAAGGTCATGAACTCAGTCGCCCCATATCTTAAGGTCATGAACTCAGTAACCCCATATCCTAAGTTAATGAACTCAGTAGCCCCATATCCTAAGGCCATGAACTCAGTAGCCCCATATCCTAAGGCCATGAACTGAGTAGCCCAATATCCTAAGGTTATGAACTCGGTAGCGCCATATCCTAAGGTCATGAACTCAATAGCCCCATATCCTAAGGTCATGAACTCAGCCCCATATCCTAAGGTTATGAACTCGATAGCCCCATATCCTAAGGTCATGAACTCAGTAGCCCCATATTCTAAGGTTATGAACTCAGTAGCCCCATATCCTAAGGTGATGAACTCAGTAGCCCCATATCCTAAGGTTGTGAACTCAGTCGCCCCATATCCTAAGGTCATGAACTCAGTAGCCCCATATCCTAAGGTCATGAACTCAGTATCCCCATATCCTCAGGTCTTGAACAGAGTAGCTCCACATCCTAAGGTCATGAACTCTGTCGCCCCATATCCTAAGGTCATGAACTCAGTTGCCCCATATCTTGAGGTCATGAACTCAGTAACCCCATATCCTAAGTTCATGAACTCAGTAGCCCCATATCCTAAGGCCATGAACTCAGTAGCCCCATATCCTAAGGCCATGAACTGAGTAGCCCCACATCCTAAGGTCATGAGCTCAGTAGCCTCATATCCTAAGGTCATGAACTCAGTAGCCCCATATCCTAAGGCCATGAACTCAGTCGACCCATATTCCAAGGTCATGAACTGAGTAGCCCCACATCCTAAGGTCATGAACTCAGTAGCCCCATATCCTAAGGTCATGAACTCAGTAGCCCCATATCCTACAATTACTATCTAGTACTACATAGTAATACTACTACTAAGTAGTAGTCCAAGTAGTATGGAGTAGTACTGCTACTAGTATCTTGGTTGTGTTGTAGTACTCGTACTATCTAGTTCTAGTACTACATAGTAATACTACAACGTAGTAGTACGAGTCGTATGTAGATGTAGTAGTTGTATGTAGTAGTACTAGTAGTACGTACTAGTAGTATGTAGTAGTAGTACGTAGTACCTGTTGTATGTAGTACCTGTTGTATGTAGTACTAGTGGTATGTTGTTCTAATGGTATGTAGTACTAGTGGTATGTAGTACTAGTGGTATGTTGTACTAGTGGTACTAGTGGTATGATGTGCTAGTGGTATGTTGTACTAGTGGTATGATGTACCAGTGGTATGTTGTACTAGTGGTATGTTGTACTAGTGGTACTAGTGGTATGATGTGCTAGTGGTATGTTGTACTAGTGGTATGATGTACTAGTGGTATGTTGTACTAGTGGTATGTTGTACTAGTGGTACTAGTGGTATGATGTGCTAGTGGTATGTTGTACTAGCGGTATGTTGTACTAGTGGTATGTACTAGTAGTATGTAGTACTAGTACTAGTAGTATGTACTAGTAGTACTACTAGGCTCTTGACGATCTCTGGACTGGTTACAGCCTTTGGAGCGGTTTTGCCGGATCGGTGCAAGGACCACCGGATAATATTGGAAGCCAGGTAATCGCGTGCCAGATAATCGATAATCGATGCGCAACTGTATTTAGACTCTCTGCTGTTTTTTGTTTATTTTAACTGGGTGTAGCGCTCGCGCTGAGCTACCGTTTGGCCCTTTTTAGCAGCTCAACCAAGTGGCGGCTTGCCATCGTCATGGGGACATTTATAAAAAGAACTCCAAACGCGTGGGATGTCGATTCTAAATGTGGAGGGCAAAACCGGAGGACCCGGAGCAACATCCACGCAGTGGCCACGGGGGGAGAGAGAGAGAGACGCAGACTCCAAATATACAGCAGCAGCAGGCATCGTCAGGGTGGGAGTCGAACCCAGGACCTCCTGTAAACCGGGCGAGGTAGTTGACATCTATCCACCATGATGATGAGAGGGAGACGCAGACTCCAAATATACAGCAGCAGCAGCAGGCATCGTCAGGGTTGGCATTGAACCCAGGACCTCCTGTAAACCAGGCGAGGTAGTTGACATCTATCCATTATGATGATGAGAGAGAGACGCAGACTCCAAATATACAGCAGCAGCAGCAGCAGGCATCGTCAGGGTTGGCATTGAACCCAGGACCTCCTGTAAACCAGGCGAGGTAGTTGACATCTCCTAGCCACCGCGGTGCCCTTCCCGTTGGGGTTCACTCCCTGGCACAGTAGTTTGTGTTAGGTGGTCGCGCTCGTTACACACAAAGTGCTTGGCCACAGCTGAAGGACGCGACTTGGCTGCCAACTCCGCTCGTCATCCTCGCAGCGGCAGCGGCGGCTGTTGGCAAACCGTCGGCTAAAGACGGTGGTCACCGCGTTGCGCGCTTTCAGATGTTATATACACTACACTATACACTACACTATACTCTACACTATACACTACACTATACATTACACTATACACTACACTATACACTACACTATACACTACACTATACTCTACACTATACACTACACTATACACTACACTATACACTACACTATACACTACACTATAAACTACACTACACTATACACTACACTATACACTACACTATACACTACACTATACACTACACCATACTCTACACTATACACTACACTATACACTACACTATACACTACACCATACTCTACACTATACACTACACTACACACTACACTACACACTACATTATATACTACTATACACTATACTATACACTACACTATACACTACACTATACTCTACACTACACTATACACTACACTATACACTACACTATACACTACATTATATACTACTATACACTATACTATACACTACACTATACTCTACACTATACACTACACTATACACTACACTATACACTACACTATACACTACACACTATACACTACACTATACACTACACACTATACTATACATTATACTATACACTACACACTATACTATACTCTACACTATACACTACACTATACACTACACTATACACTACACTATACTCTACACTATACACTACACTATACTCTACACTATACACTACACTATACACTATACTATACATTATACTATACACTACACACTATACTATACACTACACTATACACTACACTATACACTACACTACACACTACACTATACACTACACTATACACTACACTATACTCTACACTATACACTACACTATACACTATACTATACATTATACTATACACTACACACTACACTATACTACACTATACACTACACTATACACTATATACACTACACTACACTATACACTACACTATACACTATATACACTACACTATACACTACACTACACACTAAACCATACACTACACTATACACTAAACTATACACTACGCTACACACTACATTATATACTACTATACTATACACTATAATACTGTAGTATATACTATACATTACACTATACACTACACTATATATTACACTACTATACACTACACTGTATACTACACTATATACTACACTATAATGCTGTAGTATATACTATACACTACACTATACACTACACCATACGCTATACTATACACTACGCTATACATTACACTATACACTACACTACTATACACTACATTATATACTACACTATAATACTGTAGTATATACTATACAGTACACTATATACTACACTATAATGCTGTAGTATATACTATACATTACACTATACACTACACTTTATACTACACTATAATGCTGTGGTATATACTATACATTACACTATATACTACACTATACACTACACTACTATACACTACACTACTATACACTACACTATATACTACACTACTATACACTACACTATACACTACACTATACACGACACTATACACTACACTATACACGACACTACACTACTATACACTACACTATACACTACACTATATACTACACTACTATACACTACACTATAATACTGTAGTATATACTATACGTTACACTATACACTACACTATATACTACACTACTATACACTACACTATAATACAGTAGTATATACTATACATTACACTATACACTACACTATATATTACACTACTATACACTACACTATATACTTCACTATAATGCTGTAGTATATACTACTATACACTACACCATATACTACACTATAATACTGTAGTATAAGCTATACACTACACTATACACTACACTATATACTACACTACTACACTACTATACACCATACTGTACACTACACTACTATACACTACTTTACACTACACTATATACTATACTACTATAGACTATACACTACACCACTGCTATAAACCACTACTGTACACTAAACTACTATACACCATACTGTTAAACACTACTTTACACTACTACACACTGTGGACATTAACCAGGGCGGACTGCTGGATCTGAACTGCGAGCCCTCCCCCCGTGCCCCCATCCCCCCACTGTGCCCCTCCCCCTCCTGCCTCCCCCCCCCCCGTGCCCTGCGGTGTAGACTGGGAGGAGGAGCACGTCAGTAGCCCGGGGATCCTGCGCCTCATTTATCAGGGGCGCTTCCTGCATGGCAACGTGACGCTGGGAGGTAACCGGCCGCGCCTACAGCGACGATGGTGATGTTGGCAATCACAGTGGCAGTGACGATGACGATGATGGCAATCACAGTTAAAACAGCGATGACGACGATGATGATGCACATCATCACCACCACCACTGTCTGTGTATCTGTGTGTGTGTCTGTATGTAACTGCGTATGTATTTGTTTGTGTGCGTACGTGTGTACTGTGCGTGTATCTGTGTGTCTGTGCGTGTATCTGTGTCTGTGTGTGTCTGTGTGTGTCTGTGTGTGTCTGTGTGTGTCTGTGTGTGCATACGTGTGTGCTGTGCGTGTATCTGTGTGTTTGTGTATCTATGTTTGTGTGTTTGTGTGCGTACGTGTGTACTGTGCGTGTATCTGTGTGTCTGTGCGTGTTTCTGTGTGTCTGTGCGTGTATCTGTGTGTCTGTGCGTGTATCTGTGTGTCTCTGTGTGTCTGTGTGTGTCTGTATGTGTCTGTGTGCGTACGTGTGTGCTGTGCGTGTATCTGTGTGTTTGTGTATCTATGTGTGCGTACGTGTGTACTGTGCATGTATCTGTGTGTCTGTGCGTGTCTGTGTGTGTCTGTGTGCATACGTGTGTGCTGTGCGTGTATCTGTGTGTTTGTGTATCTGTGTTTGTGTGCGTACGTGTGTTTGTCTCTGTGTGTCTCTCTGTGCGTCTGTGCGTGTATCTGTGTGTGTGTCTGTGCGTGTATCTGTGTGTGTCTCTGTGTGTCTGTGCGTGTATCTGTGTGTGTCTGTGTGCGTACGTGTGTGTCTGTGTGCGTACGTGTGTGTCTGTGTGCGTACGTGTGTGTCTGTGTGCGTCTGTGTGCGTACGTGTGTGTCTGTGTGCGTACGTGTGTGTCTGTGTGCGTGCGTGTGTGTGTCTGTGTGCGTACGTGTGCGTACGTGTGTGTCTGTGTGCGTCTGTGTGCGTACGTGTGTGTCTGTGTGCGTGCGTGTGTGTATCTGTGTGTGTCTCTGCGCGTCTGTGTGTGTCTCTGTGTGTCTGTGCGTGTATCTGTGTGTGTCTGTGTGCGTGCGTGTGTGTGTCTGCGTGTGTGTGTCTGTGTGCGTACGTGTGTGTCTGTGTGCGTACGTGTGTATGTCTGTGTGCGTGCGTGTGTGTGTCTGCGTGTGTCGTTGTGTCTGTGTACTGCTTGCTAACAGCTCTTGCCCCAGCAGTCCGTGAAGGCTCCATGCGAGGGGTTCTCTTTGTACCCCTCAGCTCTGAAGCTGCCGCTGGGCAAGACGACCGTCATGCACCTGGTGGCACGGGAGAACCTTCCAGAGCCCAACTCACAGGGTGAGCAGACACACACACAGACACACACACAGACACACACACAGACACACATACAGACACAGACACACATACAGACACACACACAGACACACACACAGACACACATACAGACACAGACACACACACAGACACACACACAGACCCACACACAGACACAGACACACACACAGACACACACACAGACACACACACACAGACACACACACAGACACACACACAGACACACACACACACAGACACACACACAAATACACAGACACACACACAGACAGCAACAACAACCGCCATTCGCCACTAAGTGGCGGTGACATCACCACGACGCTTGTGCCAGGCCATGTGCACCTTGAGGCCACGTGAAGTGTTGAACGCCCGCTGGCAGGAGGTCACGGGGCAGACCCAGCAGGTGCCACGGGTCGACTGACTGAGATGACTGAGACGACTGGCTGATGCACCACCTGTGCCCCTCACTGTGCTAACCTACTACTACTACAGAGACACTCACACAGACACGCACACACAGACAGACACACACACAGACACACACACACAGACACTCGCACACACACAGAGACACACAGACACTCACAGAGGCACTCACAGAGACACTCACACAGACACACAGACACACACACACACAGACACACACAGACACACACAGACACACACATACACAGAGACACTCACACAGACACACACACACAGACACTCACTCGTGTGTCTGTGTGTGTCTGTGTATTCATGTCTGTGTTTTTGTGTCTGTGTGTGTTTGTGTGTCTGTGGGTATTCATGTCTGTGTGTCTTCATATCTGTGTGTTTGTGTGTCTGTGTGTCTTCATGTCTGTGTATATTTGTTTCTGTCTGTCTGTACTCGTGTCTGTGTGTCTCTGTATTCATGTCTGTATTCATGTCTATGTGTATTTGTCTCTGTGTGCCGGACGGGCAACGCTGTCGTGGACAGTGCTGTGGGGGGGAGGGTCAATTCCAATTGGCCCTCTCCCCTCATGGCGTCTGTGACCACCACAGTGGCTAAATGGGGGCTCTGGATGGGTGCAAGGGGCTGGTAACCCCTCCACCTTCAATAAATTACCACTAAACTACGACTGAAATATCTGAAGCCTTCAGTAGCTGTACCGGGTGAATTTCCGTTTGGTACAGATATAATGGGAGGCTGATCGATGCCCGGGTGCGGTCAAGGGATGGCGCCCTTTTGCTCAACCACGTTATGTATGCCGACGACCTGGTAATTGCTGCTCACTCAGAGGAGGAGTTGGAGACGCTGCTGCTGAGACTGGAGCGTGCCACTAAGAGGTGTGGGGCCTTACCATCAGCCCCACCAAAACTAAGCACTTGCCTGGGTGTTTTGTACCGTCAAGCAACCCACCCCCACAACTCCCAATCGGTGATGGGGCAGTTGTGGAGAGAGTGGAGAGTTTCCCATACCTGGGCAGTGTGCTCAAGACCGGCTCCGGTTTAACAGCAGAGGTCTCGCTCCGAATCAGTCGAGCGGCAATGTCTTTTCATCGGTTGCGTAATGCTGTGTGGAAGCTACCTGGTCTGTCGCTCCGCACGAAGCTTCAGGTCTTCTCGGCCACGGTCATTCCCTCCCTTCTCTACGCTTGCGAAACGTGGACCCCCCGAATGGAGCATCTTCGCCGGTTAGAAACATTTAGGTTGGCCTGCCAACGATCCATCCTGGGTTTAACCAGGCTGGATTGTGTGAGGAGCTCACAAATCCTTGAAAGAGCTGGGCAAAGTCCCATCGGTGAGCTCCTCCGGCAGGCAAGGCTGCGTTGGCTGGGTCATGTAGCCCGCATGCCCAGCCACCGCATGCCGAAACAGCTTTTGTTCGGCCGGATCGAGGGAGCTAAACGGGCACGGCACGGGCTAGAGAAGAGATGGAGTGACGTGGTACAGGAGGACGTGGAGCTGAGTGGACTTGCCGATGACCCGTACCAGCGGTGTCAAGATCGGCCTCTGTGGAGGAGGCTCGTGAAGGACGCTACTGGGCAGTTAGAGGCAGTCGCCCTTCAACAACAATGGAGGGCGGAGGAGCAACGCTCACAACAACGAGCGGAGCGCCAGGTGGCTAAAGCACAGCAAGTTGGCACAGTAGGGGGCACAGGTGGTGCATCAGCCAGTCGTCTCAGTCATCTTAGTCAGTCGACCCGTGGCACTTGGGTCTGCCCCGTGACCTCCTGCCAGCAGGCGTTCGACACTTCACGTGGCCTGAAGGTGGACATGGCCTGGCACAAGCGTCGTGGTGACATCACTGCCACTTAGTGGCGAATGGCGGTTGTTGTTGTTGTGTCTGTGTGTATCGTGTCTGTGTGTATTTGTGTCTGTGTACAGTGAGGGAAAAAAGTATTTGATCCCCTGCTGATTTTGTACGTTTGCCCACTGACAAAGAAATGATCAGTCTATAATTTTAATGGTAGGTTTATTGGAACAGTGAGAGACAGAATAACAACAACAAAATCCAGAAAAACGCATGCCAAAAATGTTATAAATTGGTTTGCATTTTATTGAGGGAAATAAGTATTTGACCCCTCTGCAAAACATGACTTAGTACTTGGTGGCAAAACCCTTGTTGGCAATCACAGAGGTCAGACGTTTCTTGTAGTTAGCCACCAGATTTGCACACATCTCAGGATGGATTTTGTCCCACTCCTCTTTGCAGATCTTCTCCAAGTCATTAAGGTTTCGAGGCTGATGTTTGGCAACTTGAACCTTCAGCTCCCGCCACAGATTTTCTATGGGATTAAGGTCTGGAGAGTGGGTAGGCCACTCCAGGACCTTAATGTGCTTCTTCTGTCTCTCACTGTTCAAATGAACCTTCCATTAAAATTATAGACTGATCATTTCTTTGTCAGTGGGCAAACGTACAAAATCAGCAGGGGATCAAATACTTTTTTCCCTCACTGTGTTCATGTGTGTACTCAGGTCTGTGTGTATTCGTGTCTCTGTGTGTTCATGTCTTTGTGTATTCGTGTCTGTGTGTGTCTGTGTATTTGTGTCTGTGTGTCTGTGTATTAGTGTGTGTGTCTGTGTGTCTGTGTATTAGTGTGTGTGTCTGTGTGCCTGTGTATTTGTGTGTCTGTGTGTGTGTGTCTGTGTATTCGTGTCTGTAGTGTCTTGGTGTGTGTGCGTGTGTGCGCGTGTGTGTGCATGACCTTCCCTGTTGCTTGCCCCTAAGTCCATTAGTGCCTATACGGGTGATCTTTGTCTTTGTGTGGATATAAGTATGGAACGGTGGCGCAGCGGTGAGCGCTACGCTGCGCTACCAACCCAGCGAGCCGAGTTCAATTCCCGCTCGCTGGCGACGCCAGTGATCGCGATTGTCTGAACCCGTCCTCGCTGTCACCCGGGTCGACTCAGCCTCAAATAAGCAGCTGGCGTGGTGTGCTGCAGTAAACATCGCCGCTGGGGAGACAAAGGCGGCCGGGCGGGCGTGGTGCTGGCCACCCACCCCCCCCCCCACAGTGCCGGTAGCCTTCACAGGTGCTGCCGCTACTAGCAGCACTTGCCCCTACGGTGGGCGTGGGCTTACGGGGCGGGTGGCACCTTTGTCTGTGTGCTGCGCAGGTCAGAGGAACCGCGGGAAAACTGAGGAGAGCAACTGCTGCGTGATCCTGTGAAGGTGGAGCCCGCACAGGGCCCTGCAGCCGCCTGGCTCCCTCCGTCGTCTGTCTCCCTCCGTTTGTGATGCCTCTGTCCGTCTCCCTCCTGGCTGTCTCCCTCCTGGCTGTCTCCCTCCTGTCTGTCTCCATGCTGTCTGTCTCCCCCACACGCCCCCGATCCATCTGGCAAGTGGAGAAAAGTTTATGGTCTCAGCCCGGTCACTAGCCACTCGCGCAGAGACCCATAGACTCGCACAGAGACCCATAGACTCGCACAGAGACCCATAGACTCGCACAGAGACCCATAGACTCGCACGGAGACCCATAGACTCGCACAGAGACCCATAGACTCACACAGAGACCCATTAACTCACCACACTGAGACCCATTAACTCACCACACTGAGACTCGTAGACTCACACAGAGACCCATAGACTCACACAGAGACCCATAGACTCACACAGAGACCCATAGACTCACACAGAGACCCATAGACTCACACAGAGACCCATAGACTCACCACACAGAGACCCATTAACTCACCACACTGAGATCCGTAGACTCACATGGAGACCCATACACTCACCCCTGAGACCCATAGACTCACTCATAGACCCATAGACTCACCACACAGCGACCCATTAACTCACCACACTGAGATCCGTAGACTCACATGGAGACCCATACACTCACCCCTGAGACCCATAGACTCACACATAGACCCATAGACTCACCACACAGAGACCCATTAACTCACCACACTGAGATCCGTAGACTCACATGGAGACCCATACACTCACCCCTGAGACCCGTAGACTCACACAGATATCCACATACACACATCGAGACCTGTAGACTCACGTGGAAACCCACATATTTATACAGAGACCCATGGACTCAAACAGAGACCCATAGACTCACCACCAGACAGACCCATAGACTCACAGGGCATACTTTAGGTCTATTTAGCTTGGCGATGCGGAAAGTTATTTGTCCAGCCGCTGCGCACAACATCCCCCTGTGTGTGCCCTGTGTCACTACATCCCCTGTGTGTGTCACCACATCCCCCTGTGTGTGCCCTGTGGCACTACATCCCCTGTGTGTGTCACCACATCCCCCTGTGTGTACCCTGTCACCACACCCCCTGTGCTGCTGCTGGCAGTCGCGTTCACATCCTGGAAGCGTCGCTCAGGTGGGCTTAATCAGAAGCGAGAATTTGGAGAGACAGAGAGAGAGGGGAGAGGAGAGAGACAGAGACATTGAGGAGAGAGACATAGAGAGCGATGAGAGGAGCGAGACAGAGAGAGAGGAGAGACAGAGAGAGGAGAGACAGAGAGAGGAGAGAGAGAGGAGAGAGACAGAGAGGAGAGGGAGAGCGATGAGAGAGAGGAGAGAGACAGAGAGGAGAGAGAGCGATGAGAGAGAGAGGGAGGAGACAGAGAGAGGGAGGAGACAGAGAGAGGGAGGAGACAGGGAGGAGACAGAGAGGGAGGCAACAGAGAGAGGGAGGAGACAGAGAGAGGGAGGAGGAGGAGCAGAAACTGCGCAAGCGATGTGCGGTGAACGCACGCCGGATCACTACGCGTCTCCGCCGGCGATCGCCGGAGATAACTTGATCATTTGATAACTCGAGTTCTCGATCACTTTTCATTTGATCACTCGATTACTCCATCGTTTGATCGCTTGATCACTCGGTCACTTTTTTAAATTTGATCATCTGATCACTCGATCAATTTATCATTTGATCACGTGCCAATTTGATCACACGGTCACTTGATCACTTGATCACCTGATGACATGGTCACTTGATCACATGGCCACTTAATCACTTGATAATTTGACGATTTGATCCGCACCGCCGGCGGTCCCCGTGGCACTCTGCGGGTTTACCGGTGGTGCTCGCTTGCAGTTGGGCACAGTGGCTCGCGGTCAAATCAAGAGTTGGGGGTGGGGGGAGCGGGGAGCGCGTCGGGGAGACCGGAGGTTACCCCCAGCCAGCCACGTCTACCAGGTTACCCCCAGCCAGTCGGTCATTAAAGGTTCACCCCGACCCCATGCGTGGGCCCAGGGTGAGTTTTGGCACTCGCAGAGAGGCTGGAGGGGAACCGACGCTTCACCACCGCCACCACCACCGCTGCCCCCGGTGCCCTTGCCGGGACAGCCGCAGTGGTGGTTGGCGGAGGGAGGGGAGGGAGGATTTCAGATTTAAGAAATTCAGCATCCCTGGGATTGAGGAGGGGTTTCCGGAGCGGCGGCGGTAGCGGCGACAGTAGGCTAGCAGCGGCACGGTAACAGCCACAGTGGGAGTCGTAGTGGGAGTTGTAGGAATATACTGATGACTATAGTCTGTGTGTCACGTTGATCTCCGCACGAATCTCCATTGGTTGGAAAGTCACGACGGGAATGGGGGGTTGAGATGGGGGGGTTGGGGGGGGGGCCACCCACATGGACGTGCCAGTTGCGGTTCCTCGGTCATCGGCGTCGCGTGCCCACCGGCTCTCACCGCAACTCCTTTGGTGCGTGCGATTTGTGTTTCTCTCCTTCCCTCTCGCTCGCTCTCTCTCCCCTTCCCTTTCCTTCTCTCTCCTTCTCTCTCGGTCGTTGTAAAGTACAGTATATACCGTATACATAAATATATATACACACGAGACACACCACACACACCGCACGGCACGCACGGCACGCACACGAGACACACACCACACAGATACACGCGACGTGTGCACAATGCTAGCACACACCACACACGAGCACACTACACGCACACACGACACTCACACACGACACAAACGACACTCACACACGACACTCACACACGACACACACTACACGCACACACGACACTCACACACGACACACACGACACTCACACACGACACACACGGCACACACGACACTCACACACGACACAAACGACACTCACACACACGACACTCACACGACACTCGCACACGACACTCACACACGACACACACTACACGCACACACGACACTCACACACGTCACACACAACACACACGACACTCACACACACGACACACACGACACTCACACACACGACACACACGACACACACGACACACACGACACACACACACGACACTCACACACGACACTCACACGACACTCACACGACACTCACACATGACACTCACACACACGACACTCACACACACGACACTCACACACAACACACGACACTCACACACGACACACACGACACTCACACACGACACTCACACACGACACTCACACACGACACTCACACACGACACTCACACACGACACTCACACACGACACTCACACACTATACACACACACGACACACACGACACTCACACATGACACTCACACACACAACACACACGACACACACGACACACACGACACTCACACACGACACACACGACACTCACACACGACACACACGACACGCACACACGACACACACGACACGCACACACGACACACACGACACTCACACACGACACTCACACACGACACACACGACACTCACACACGACACTCACACACGACACACACGACACTCACACACGACACACACGACACACACGACACTCACGACACTCACACACGACACACACGACACTCACACACGACACACACTCACACACGACACACACGATACTCACACACTATACACACGACACTCACACACTATACACATGACACACATGCCACGACACACACACACGACACCACACGTGTAAACCCTGATATTTAGAATTTTGTGGGGTGGGGAGTGGGGTTGGGGTGGGGGGGGGTGATGTGGAAGCATTGTAGAATATTGTACCTAATATTAACAAACAAAAACGAGAACCCGTTTCAACATGAAAAGAGGCAAGAGAGCGGAGAGACTTTGACGACGACGACGACGAGATTTGCCCGGACGGTGGCGCGACGGTGGAGCGACGGTGGAGCGACGGTTCCCTGCCACTTGTCGTTCCTGCCGTCGTGACCACGGCCCCTCACGACTACCGCGAGCGGCCCTCCGTCTGTATTCCGTGCCGGAGCGCCGACGCCTGTTGACGGTCGCTGCCCGGAGCTCTCCACCACCACCACCACCGGCACTGGCATCGGCAAACGAGCCGCCTCGGAGCCGGGGCCCCCAGTTGTGGTTTGGTTTGACCGGTTTTGGTTGAACCAATTTAATTTGACCGGTTTTGGTTGAACCGATTCGGTTTAACCGATTTGGTTTTAGTGATTCGGATTAATCGATTTGATTTGACCGGTTTGGTTTAACCAATTTGTCCTCACCGCTTTAGGTTTTAAACGATTTGGCTTAACCGCTTTGGTCAGGCTGCTCCGGTCTAACCGCTGCGGTTAAAACTGGAGGCGCGTGACGGAATGTTGAGCAGCGCGCGGTAACTTTTTATTTTTGAGGTCGCCGCGAAAGGGAAAAAAAACTCGGCGCCAAATCTTGCCGTGATTTTTCGACGTCTCTCCTCCACCGGGTTCTTTTTTTTTCTGCCGGTAAAAAGCGAAATGGGCTCGTGCCCGCGTCCCCTCGCCGAGTGGCGGTGAGGGGTGCGGTGAAACGCCGGGGCGCCAGGAACGGCCCCGCGTCTCTCTCCATGTGCCGGGAGGGAGACGCCGGGGAGGGTCCGCGGGGGTGGGTGGGAATGTCTTCGGTCCCGGGGGCTCGCTGGCAAAGTCGGTTGTGGTGTCGGCTTCACGTAGACTCACACAGAGACCCACAGACTCGCACAGAGACCCATAGACTCACACAGAGACCTATAGACTCACACAGAGACCCATAGACTCAGAGACCCATAGACTCACAACACAGAGACCCACAGACTCGCACAGAGACCCACAGACTCGCACAGAGACCCATAGACTCAGACAGAGACCCATAGACTCACAACACAGAGACCCACGGACTCGCACAGAGACCCATAGACTCACCACACAGAGACGCACATAATCACCACACAGAGACCCAAAGACTCACCACACACAGACCCACAGAATCACCACACAGACCCATAGACTCAGACAGAGACCCATAGACTCACAACACAGAGACCCACGGACTCGCAGAGAGACCCATAGACTCAGACAGAGACCCATAGACTCACAACACAGAGACGCACATAATCACCACACAGAGACCCACAGAATCACCACACAGACCCATAGACTCAGACAGAGGCCCACAGAATCACCACACAGACCCATAGACTCGCCACACACAGACCCATAGACTCGTAGCACAGAGACCCACGGACTCACCACGCACAGACCCCTAGGCTCACCACAAAGCCCTGTAGACTCACCAAACAGACACCCACAGACTCACTCGTA